ACCATCTCTTTGGGGCTCTGGTCCTCCTTCCCCTGCAGCGTCGGTTCAGTGTCACCCTGCGCCTTGCCCTCTTTGGGGACCATGTGGGAGCTCTGCGAGCTCTGGGTGTTCCTCTGACCAAGGTACCTCAGCCCAGCAGGACCTACCCTCTAGTGGGGATCCCCAAGGGCGGGGAGCTCTGCTGGGCCTCAGGCTCCTCATCTTACTTCTTGGGGGACTTAAGGGGTTAGGAGAATCCATGTAAAGGATTTTTTTTTTTTTTTTTTTTTTGGCGGAACTGGGGATTGAACTCAGATCCTTGCGTTTGCCAGTCAAGCGCTTATCTACTGAGCCATCTCCCCAAGATTTAAATGGTCTGGTATATAGTATTTTGATTTCTTTTTCTTTTCTACAGTATAGAGGGTTGAATCCAGGGCCTTCACACCAAACTACATTCTCAGCTCTCTTCATTACTTTTTATTATTAACAAGGTCTATAAGATGCTACAGTGTAGATTAAGAGATTTTTTCTAAGCTAGGCATGGTGGTGCATGGCTTCATAACCCCAGTCTGGATTGGAAGATATGAGTGCAAGCCCCATCTGGGCAGTTTAACAAAAGCTTGTCTCGGGATATAAAAAAAGCCTTGGAATGTAGCTTGCTGTGAAGGCCTTCAGCTCAATTCCCAGTACCAAAGGAAAAAAAGATAACTTCAAGCCTTGATGATTTACCAGCTTAGCAAGATCTTGGCTCAAAAGTATAAAAGAACTGGGCAGGCATGGTGGCATAGCCTGTAATTCTACCACTCAGGAGGCTGAGGCTGGAAGATTGCCTTGAGTTTGAGGCCACCTTTGGCTGCATAGTAAGTTCAAAGTCAGCCTGAACTACACAGTGAGAACACGTCTTAAAAAAAAAAGCAAAATAAAAAAGGGCTGGGAATAGGAGATACAGCATAGTGTAGAGGACCTGGTTTAATCCCCTATACTGAGAGAGGGAAGAAGAAATTACAAATTGTAAAGTCACTATATTTTTTTCTTTTTTTTTTTAAATACTTTATTTATTTATTTATTTATTTTGTGTGTGTGTGGCCAGTTCAGCCCACCAGGGGGCGGGGCTGGCTGGCATGTGGTGCTGGGGGATTGAACCCTGGTCCCTGTGTTTTGCTTAGCTTAGCTTGTTCTAAGTAGGTGCTTTAGACCACTGAGCCATCTCACCAGTCCCTATATTTTTTTCTTAAGACTAGATTTTTTTTTTCCTTATAATCCTGGAGAATTTAAAAGAGCTGTTTACATTATATAAATATATGTACATACATTATATAAGTATATCTTATAAAAAGAGAACTAAAAAGAAAAAATATTTTTAGGAAGTAAAAAGAAAATAATCTTGCTGAGTATAGTGGTGCATGCCTGTAATCCCTACGGGGGGGGGGGGGGGGCTGAAGTAGGATCACTGTGAGTTCAAGACCAGCCTGGGCTACAGAGTGAGCTCAAGGCAGCCTGAACGGCATAGCGAGACTGCATCTCAGGAAAGGAAAAAAACATTATGTTGGGGGCCTGCCCAATAGCTCAGCTGTTTAAATGCCTGCGGAAACAAAGCCCTCAAGCTCAAGCTTCTGTGGTTCGAACACAGATAGTCAAGACAAACCACAAATGCCCTAAAGGCATTTTGGGCGTCCAAAAAACAAAACAAAACAAAACATTATGTTGCAGCTGGCTACAGGGACACATGCTTATAATCTAAGCATTTGGGAGGCTGAGACAGGTGGATTATAAATTCCAGTCCAGCCTTGGCAATATATCAAAATCCTGTCTCAATAAATAAATAAAATATTACATTGTAGTATACTCCTGCAATCCCAGCTACTATGGAGGCTGAGGCAGGAGGATCACAAGTTCAAGGCCCGCTGAAACAACGGAGATGTAAATGTAAAAAACAGTTTAAGGATAAGCACTATTTATTTAGCATGCACAAGGCCTGACTTTGACCCCCAGTGCTGAGAAAATTTTTTTATTAAGTTTATTAAGTATAAAGCAATAAGGATTCTCACGAGCTCTTTGGTCTGCTTGCCCTTATCCACCTGCTAGAGAAGGGTGGATGTCTGTTGTATGGACAGACCTGATCTCTGCCCTCACATGACCATCCGATGTCTGCCTTGTTACCCAGTGATGCACACACTGCCCTTCAACACGTGTCACTTCTTCTGTCACAGCTGCCTGTGCCCCTGGAGTACTACACAAGGCCTCCTGAAGATAACCTGGCCCTGCTTCGGCTCTACTTCCGGGTGCTGGTCACTGGTGCACTCCATCCGCAGTGGTGCCCTGTGCTCTATGCTGTGGCTGTGGCTCATGTCAATAGCTTCATATTCTCCCAGGACCCAAAGAGCTCAGTAAGTTCCACTTCTAGTGACTAGGCTGCTTCAGGGCCAACTGGGAGAGGTGAGGTCAGGAGAAGCCAGTGGTGGTGCCAGTCCTGGGCTTAGCATCACCTATCCCATTGTGCTCCTAGGATGAGATGAAGACTGTCCGAAGGAGCATGCTACAGAAAACATGGCTGCTGACAGATGAGGTAGGCAAGGGCCTAAAAGGACTTGGAAGGCGGAGACCGTAGTCTCGTTCCCCATCTCATAAACTTTCTTCCTTCTCTGCAGGGTCTCCGACAGCATCTCCTCTATTATAAGCTTCCCAGTTCCAGCCTCCCAGAAGGCTTTGAGCTATATTCCCAGTTGCCCCCACTGCGGCAGCAGTACCTCCAGACACTGGCTTCAGGGGTGCTGCAGGATGGAGCAACAGAAACCTAGAGTCTCAGACTGTGGGTGGAGAGATGGATTCCTTCCCCAGCCACGCCAGAGGACATCACATCCTAGGGGCGGCCAAGCACAAAGGAGCAAGACTTGCCTGGAAAGAGCACACTGCTAGAGCTCTTATGGAACATAGCCTTTCTTTTCCAACCTGATACGTAGAGCTCAGGATCTGAGGATTGCTCTGCTACATGACTATGCTTCTTACCCACCCCTAACCCCCATCCTGGGCCAGGGGATATGGATGTTATGCTGCACACTGAAAGATTCTTTTTAGTTTCCCAGTGATTTGCATTGACTTTGTTTTTATTTTGATTTGTTTGTTTGGTTTTTTTCTGAGAGAGGGTCCAGCTGCGTAGTTCAGGTTGACCTTGAGCTCACTGTGTTAGTAACACACACTGCCCTGGAACTTGCAGCATACTGCCTCAGCCTCTTAAGTGCTGGGATTACAGGAGATCACTGCCATTCTTAGCCAGATTGATTTTAGTCATGTTTGTTCAGAATTGGTTGGAGGGGTAGATTATCCCAAGGAGCGTGGACATCCTCCATGAGGCAGCATCTGTGGTTCTGTTAGCACTACCTATGCCCCTGAGACAGGAAGTCATCAGACAACAAGGTGGTACAGAACTGCAGTAGCACCAGTCCACTGTAGGACCAGGTCTGGCTGGAAGGAGTAGACTAGAGCATTAACTGGTTCACCTCTTCATCCTGCTAGAATTTCTAGATCTTCCTTTTGTCCAAAAGGAAAGTTCCAAATTCTGACACTTAGGCTTACATTGTCATTGCCATGTAGTGTTACCAGTGTTCTATCTGCAAAGTGAGTGCAGGGTGCCAGGCCCAGCTCTGTTAGTAGAGCCCATCCCCAGAGATGGAGTTGATGAATATAGAACTGTCCAATGGATTTTATTAAGCAGTTACTATATCTGCATTTCTCAAGTTCACATGACAAAAATCACTTGTAAACGTTAAAATATTGCTGGACACTACCACCAGAGTTTCAGTCAGTACATCTGTTGGGTTTTTTTTTTTTCTTTGTATTTAGGACAGGGTGCACAGGGTCTCACTGCATATATCAGTCTTGTGATCCTCCTGTTACAGCCTCCCAAGTGCTGGGATTACAGGTGTGCTACCATGCCCAGTCTTTATCCTTCACAGCGCCCCGGGGGTGGGGCCAACACAGCAGGCCAGGGGCTGGAACTCCAGGCCCCTACAGGCATTTTAATCTGCTGAGCTTTTTTTTTTTTTTTTTTTTTTTTGGCGGAACCAGGGATTGAACTCAGGTCCTTGTCCTTGCCTGGCAAGCGCTTATTCTACTGAGCCATCTCCCCGGCCCCTGCTGAGCTATTTGGTTGGCCCTCTGGTGTGTTGTTTTTTGAGACAGGCTGTCACTATATAGTTCAGACTGCCCTTAACTCATGTCAGTTCTTCCTCGGCCTCATGAGTGCTGTGAGTCAGAGCATCTGAAACCAGGCCAAGAATTTCCATTTCTAAAGAGTTCCCAGGTGTTACTGGTGTTGCTATCCTGAACAACCACAATTTGAGAATCCAGTTCACTCGGACCTTGTGAAGTGTCCACCTCATAGTGGAATGTCTGCCATTAACTAGGCCATGACTTCCAGGTTTTTTGTTTTTTGTGGTTTTACTGAAGCACAAATAAACATGCACACAGGCCGTCTATTCATTTTCTTCACTGCGCGGCCTAGCATTGGGATTGGTGAATGCGATGGCTAGCTAGGCTGCTCTTTCCACGATGGCCTTGCAGTTCTTAGAGGAGACATGAGCAATCTCTGCAGTAAGACGTGTTGCACATCAGCAGCACCTCCAGCTCCTTAACATTGTGTACCAGGAACTTCCGGAAGCCACTGGGCAGCATGTGCTTTGTCTTTTTATTATTCCTGTAATCTATGTTGGGCATCAAGATCTGGTCCTTGAACCTTCTCAGCACCCTGTTGTTGATGCCTCTGGGTTTCTGCCAGTTGTGCTTAATTTTGACATACTGGTCTGACTGGTACCAGATGAACATCTTGGTCCTCTTTTTGATGATCTTAGGCTTCATGAGGGCTCTGAGGGCTGCCATGGCTGCCACCTTTGTAGGCTGGTGGTGAGGAAGAGTTGGGTTTTTTTTTTTGGTGGTACCGGGGATTGAACTCAGGATCTTGTGTTTGCCAGGCAAGCACTTATTACACTGAGCTATCTCTCAGTACTAGGGATTGAACCCAGAGGGTGCTGAGCTGCATCCTGTCTCTTTATTTTGAAACAAGAGTCTGGCTAAATTGGCCAGCCTGCACACACACACACACAATAAATAAATGTAATAAATAAAAAATAAATAAATATTTAAAAAAAAATAAAAAAAAAAATAAATTGGCCAGCCTGTTCTTGAATTTAGAATCCTCATGCCTCAGCCTCTCCAGATAGCTTTGATTACAGGTGTTTGCACCATGCTTGGTCCACCTAGCATTATTTACTCAGATTCTATCAACTAATAACTTGTTTTCAGGTGTCTCATTAAACAAGTGTCAACTCTTAAAGTTAGTACTTGGGGGGGGGGGATACTGAGGCTCGAACTCAAGACCTTGCAGTTGCCAGGCAGGCACTTATGCCACTGAGCTACCTCTCTGGCCCAGAGTCAGTACTTTCAAGCCAGGCAGGGTAAAGCATACCAGTAATCCCAGCAGTCATGGAGCCTGTGGCAAAAAGTTCAAGCCCAGCCTAGAAAACTCAGTGAGTTAGCAAGACCTTGTCTCAATTTAAAATAAACAAAAAGGGCAGGAACAGTTCAGTGCAAAGACCCAGGATTCACTCCCCAATGTGTGTGTGGGGTGGAGTATTTTAAATAAAAGTTCGAGGACCCAAAACACAAAGGGGGCAAATTGGTTCTTCCAGTTGCCTGGGTGCAGTTTCTCTCCTTGGATTTCACAAGTGGTAGGGCACCATCTCAGCAGTGACCTGTTCTGCCTTGTACCTCAGCCGTGACCAGGTGTGCTAGCACTAGTGCCCAGCTCTCCTGACCTGCTCATCACAGTTCATTGTTCATGACATTAGCAGAACAGTGTGAAAACATTTCTCAGGGCGTCCTAGAGATTCCCCTGCGGCCATACCAGCACTAAAAGGACTAGTACTTTCCATACATGATCACACTCCACCACCACGGAGGAGGCATACTATCTCCTGGCCCAAGAAACCAAGAACGGCCAAGGATGGAGCTGGCCACTTTCCAGGGTGCTGCCTCAAACGAGTATGGTATGGGAACCTCAACTCCTAGGCTCGATCATATCTTGGGGCAGTTAGTGGCAGAAATGAGGGCTAGAGCTAGTGTCTGGCGTGGGGCCCAGCGGTAAAGCCCGGGACGCTCCCTGCCGCATGCCCCGCCCCTTCCTCCTAACTCACCGGGGTCTGAGTGGGCGTGGCCGGACTGGCTTTAGGTACCCAGGACACCTCGCGGACCGCTAGGCGCTCTCGTGAGCTAGCTGCTTTAGAGGGCTGCGGTGGTCTGAGCGGGCAGCCTCTGCCAGGCGCCGAAGGGGCGATGGGCCTCTCTGGCCGGCTGTTGCTGTGGCTCGGAGCTTTGGGTAAGTGCGCGCGAGGGGGGGGGGGGGGGGGGGGGGGGGGGGGGGGGGGGGGGGGGGGGTCTGGCGGAGCCTGTCAGCCGGAGGAGCTTCCTAGAGTTCGGAACGTCAGCGGCGACAGAACAGGTCGCCAGAGTGTCTCTGGCAGCTTCCGACCTTCGCAGCCCACACTCTCTAATCTGTGTTTGTAGGGTGTAAATCGAAGAATTTACGGGGCGTGGCCCTTCGAAATTGGAGCGTGCAGTTTGAAAAGGAGGGACACGCTCTGGGGTCCCTGGCCTACCTTGGGAGGGGCGACAGCACAACCCGGGTCCGGACAGTCTCCAGGCGGTTCAGGGGCTGGGCAACTTGGCCAGGTGTCAGCCGGGGCTTCAGCGACTGCGTTGAGCGGCGAGGGCCTTCCGCGTTCGAGTGGGCGCTGGCTGCAGGATCTTAGGGGTGTGGCTGCGAGTAGCAGGGGCTAGCAGTTAGGGTGTTTTTTGTTTTGGTTTCTGGTACTGAGGATTGAACCCAGAACCTTAGCATTAAGTTCCATCACTCTGGTTGTTGTTGTTAATTTTGAGACAGGGTTTCACTGTCACTACATTGCCCACACCGGCCCTGAATTTCTATCTGCCTCAGCCTCCCAGAGTGCTGGGATTACAGCGGTGCACCACGCCTAGCTCGGTTTTGGTTGTTGTTGGTTTTTTTTGGGGGGGGGTCTCTTTTACTTGCCTCCCGCCCCACCATTTAACTCCTGCACCCTCTCCCAATTCCTCTGTCTCCCTGCCACTTTTCAGGGATCATTCTGTGCTCCAGCTCAGGGATCCAAGGGCCTTTTCTTCCATCCTCGCCCCCTCTGCTGTTAGGTCCCAGCCCCTGGGACCCAAAAGTTACGGCTCTGCCTAGTGGACTAGAGCCCGGGTACTCTCCAGGTCCTCTAGGTGAGTTCTGGGCTCCTTCCCTTTCTTTTGCTCACTATCCCCAGACCCCCAGGCCTGGCCAGGAACCATCCTTTCCTTCCTCCCTGCCCCCAGGCACTGAAGGGCCTTGGCGGTTCTCCACCTGCGGTGCCAGTGGCCCTCAGGGGCCCACACAAGCACAGTGCGACAGGGCGTACACGGGGAACAGCGTGGTGGTGTCGGTGGGGGACTCCGGTCCGCTTCGAGGCGTGCAGCTGTGGCGGGCGCCAAGCACAGGGCATTATCTGTGAGTACCTGGCCAGGTGGTGGCGGTGACCTGCCGTCCGAGGTCCTGCAGTAGGAAAGGCAGGACACGTGCCCGCCACATCGAGTCTTGGCGCATTCCCAGAGTCCTTGAGTGTCCCTCCTTCAGTGGGACCACGGCAAGGGCGGCGACAGTCACCGAGCTCACGGTGGCCTGGAGCCTGTGACCAGGGCAGCACCAAAGGGTGTATGAACTTCCATTAGCACCCTTGGAATCTCAAACCTAATGGCTTTGGTGGGCAAACCTATTTTCCCCATAACTTCAGCTTCGCTTACAAATCTCTAAGGCTCTCGGGCAAAAATTTGTGGGGCTGGCAGGTCACCGACCTGTGTCCAGGGCGGGGACCCTGCACCCTCTCTCGGCAGGATCTCAGCCTACGGAGCTGCGGGCGGCAAAGGCGCCCAGAGCCACCTGCCGCGGGCGCGCGGTGTCTTCGTGTCAGCGGTCTTTTCCTTTGGTCGTGGGGAGACGCTGTTCATCCTGGTGGGACAGCAGGGGGCGGACGCCTGCCCGGGGGTGAGTGGCTCAGCGGGCGCCGGGGGATTGGATGGGGCTGGGAGCCCGCGCAGCCCGCTGAGGCCTGGACCGTGCCAGTTTTGCCCGGTGCCCGCAGGGAAGCCCGGAAAGTCAGCTCGTGTGCCTCGGAGAGTTGGGGCTGGCCGAAGAGCAAGCAGCGACAGAGGCGACCGACAGCAGCCCGGGGTCGCACCGCTGGGCGGGCGGGGGCGGCGGGGGCGGGGGCGCCACCTATGTCTTCCGGGTAGGTTCTGCCCGCGCCGCGGCGCGCACTCCGCCCGCGCTCTTGGGGTTCCCCGTCCCCGCCCGCGTCCCTAGGGTCCCTCCGCCCCAAGGTCCTCCATCCCGGCTCTGCCTGCAGCCCCGGGATCCCTCCGTCGCCGTCTTTCCGTGGCTGCCAGAGAGCACCCCTGAACTCCACCTTTCCCACAGCTGCGCGCCGGCCAGCTGGAGCCCTTGCTGGTGGCGGCCGGAGGTGGCGGTCGCGCCTACCTGAGGCGGCAGGTCGGCGGCCGCCCCCAGGCCGCCCCCGAGAGACTAGAGAACCGTATGGAGGCGCCCGGGAACAGCGGCAGAGGCGGAGCGGCAGGTCAGGCCGTGGGGACCACGTGCGACCTGGGCGGGTGCAGGGTCCCCTGCGCCTGGTCTGCCTGCCTCTGTCGCTCCGCAGGTGGCGGAGGCGGCTGGGCGTCGCGGGCTCCTTCCCTGCAGGCCGGCCGCTCACTGCACGAAGGAGCCGAGGGTGGCCAGGGCTGTGCGGAAGCCTGGGCCACGCTTGCCTGGGCCGCGGCCGGAGGCTTCGGGGGCGGCGGCGGGGCCTGCACTGCCGGCGGTGGAGGCGGCGGCTACCGGGGTAGGTGCGCCCTCGGATGAACAGCCCTGAGGGTGAGCAGAGGTCAGAGGTTTGAGGACAGGTGGGAAACAGAGCAGGAGCTCTTCCTAAAGGTCAAGTCAGTCGTGAAGTCTACTGGCTTTTTTTTTTTTTTTTTCTTTTTTGTATCAGGAATCGAACTCAGGACCATGCACTTGCCTGGTAGGCATTGTGTGGCTGAACTATATCTCTGGTTCCACCCTGGATTGTTTTCCATCACAAGCTTGCACTTCATTCTGCAGCAGTGGGAAAAATTTAGAGCTGACAAGGGTAGTACTGATAGTTTAAGTTGGTACTTCTCAATGTGGGGCGCCTGAACTACTGAAGTCAATGAACTACATAAGTCAATTTATGAATGTCAGTCTGAGGAGGAGAGGTTGGGAGATACCCATTTGGAGCACACAAAATTTCATTTAGGAAGAAACATTTCAAGAAGTCTAAAGTACATCGTAATGATTAGGGTTAATAACAGCATACTCTTGAAAATGAGCAAGAGAGTGTATTTTAGGTGTTTTCACTACAAGAATTTGTGAACTGAACATGATGGTGCACATCTGTTATCTCAGCACTCCGGGAGGCTAAAGGAGAATAAAAAGTTTAATTCCAGATTAGGCAAATTAGTGATTTTGGGGCCGGGGAGATAGTTCAGTAGAGTAAGTGTTTGCCTGGCAAGCTCAAGGGCCTGAGTTCAATCCCCGGTTCCAGGGGAGATAAATTAGTGATTTTGACTCTCTCTCAAAATTTTAAAAATAAGCTCCTGCTTAGGCAAAGCACAGGGATCCAGTTCAATGGCAGGCATGCTGTTGGCCCCGCCCCCCGGGCATGCTGAAATGAGATTGAGACTGGGCATGGTGGTGCGCACCTGTAGTCCCAGCACTTGGGAGGCTGAAAACAGTATCACTATGAATCTGATCTGTGTAGTGAGACTCTGTACACCCTGTACATTAAAAATAATTAAAAATAGGTTGGTCTGTAAGTTAGTGAGAAGACCCTGTGTTGAACTCAACTCCAGTAACCTCCCAAAAAAGTGGTATAGATTGATTTGCTCAGATCTGTTGTTACATAGCTTGTATTATTTTGTATCATTACTCAAAATAAATACCTACATATTGTCAATTAAAAAGTAGTTATTGGGGCTGGTGAGATGGCTCAGTGGTCTAAAGCACCTACTTAGAACAAGCTTAGCAAAGCCCAGGGACCGCGGTTCAATCCCCCAGCACCACATGCCAGCCAGCCCCGCCCCCTGGTGGGCTGAGCTGGCCACACACACACATAAATAAATAAATGAAATTAAAAAAAAAAAGTAGTTATTGAGTATCTTGTACTCTGAGTAACTAATTTAAAGATAACTATATGTGATGTATTAACCATTATTACCTTCCTATTGCCTTTTGAATTTTTTCCTCTTTAAAATACAAAAAAAAAAAAAAAAACCACCTACAAAAAGGCTGGGAATGTAGCTCAGTACAGAGGCCCTTGGTTTAATTCTTAGACTCTCCAATAATATTTTAAAATAAATATAAAGTCTTAGAGGCCAGGGAGATAGCTCAGTGGATTAAGTGCTTGCCTGTCAAGCTCAAGGTCCTGAGTTCAATCTCTGCTACCATCCCCCCCCCAAAAAAAACTCTTAGCTGTTTCCAATCTACTGAATTGAAAATTCCAGGGGAGGGTCCTAGCCATCTGTTTTTATTAGTCTTGTAGGGGACCCTAAAGTGGTCCAGAATTGAGAGCCACATGTGAAGAGAAACAGCCTTTGCATCTGTTTGGGCTGTGCAGTTTGGAAGCATTTTACACACATCATCTCCATTCTCAGAGAAATGGAATGTGTGTGCGCTGGGTTTTCCCTTTTCCTAGCCAAGGACTTGGACCTGGAAAGTTCAGGTATGAGTGTCCAGGCAGCATGTACCAGCCGCCAGGTTCTAACTGATTCATCCTGTCCAGATCTCACAGTGTCCACTGTGAGCATGTGGCACCTGTATAGCAATGCCAGAGTAGGGAAGGCCACACAGGGAGAGGCAGGCTTCCTCACGCTTCCTAAACTAGCGCCCAAACTGTGAAGCAGCTATTCCCCCATCTTATCCCCACTCCATCTTGTGTTAAACCCTCTATCACTCAATTTTCCAGGAGGTGATGCTTCATCAACTGACATCTTCTGGGCTGATGGGGAAGATGGGGTGTCCTTTGTACACCCCAGCAGTGAGCTCTACCTGCAGCCTCTGGCAGGTACCAGCCCTACCTCCACCTTTCAGTTTGCTTGGTGTGGTCCTTCTCATGCCTGCAACATGCCTACTTCCATGGCAGCCACTGAACCGCACTTTCGGCTGCCTGGCTCTTATGAAGTTCAGGAACATTTGGGAAGGCGACTTTGGATACCAGTGTGGGACATTCAGGAGTGTTTGTCAAGTGTCTCCTTGACGTGGAATCTCTTCAAATACCTGAAGGCTCAGTGGTTCCAGAAGGGGGATGTCTGGACACTAGTCACCAGGTTTTCCAATTATCCTGTGTCCCTGGCACTGCTTGCCCCCAGCTCCTAAGCTAGGATTAACCATGTAGCTAGAAGAGGCACGCGTGTCTCATACCCACCCCTACTTCTCGTCCCCCAGAGTCCCACCTTGTCGGTTGTTTTATTCACAGTCATGGAGAGCCATGGAGAAGTGGAGATTCGAAGACATCCCAACTGCAGTCATTGCCCTTTGAAAGACTGCCAGTGGCAGGCAGAGCTCCAGCTGGCTGCGTGTGTGTGCCCAGAGGGCATGAAACTAGCTGTGGATAACATTACTTGTACCGGTAGTTCTTATCTTTGCCTGGGCTCGGACTCCTGGGTCACAGGCTGTGGGGAGCCATGGGCACTGGGAAACATGTACAGAGGCCTGCTGTATGCCAGGCACTGTTGGGTGCTGGGCAGGGGGTTGGAAGTACATTGGCACACACTCGGCCTTCAAGGAGCATGCAGGCTAGTGTGGGAGGTGAGACAAGTATTTAGATGTAGATGTATAGATACATACTAAAAATGGCAGTTGCTATGGGAGATACCAAGTGTTTAGGGGTTCTAGGGAGAGATTGCTTTTTATCTAGGATAATTGGGGTGGCATTTGGGTGTAACAGAGCTGAGTCTCCAGGGCTGTTTAAGACTAGAGGGACAGAGGGGAGTTGTGCTCTAGAAGTGTCTCTTTCCCTTAGATCTGCCCAGGCCCCCGAGCCCTGTGGTTCTGATGGTGGCTGTGATAGCGACCTTGACACTGACGCTCCTCATGGCTTGTGGGGCCCTGATCCTAGGTATGGAACATCCACCAGGCTTGGCTAATTCGAGACTACCCTTCTCCCACCGAGCTGCAGTAGGCTTCTGTGGGGTTCTGGGGAGGTGCGATGGACACGGAGCAGAGGCAGAAAATTCGAGGAGTGGGAGTAACTGGGAGGCCCGCGGAACAGGCATCTGGACAGGTACCCGGAAGCAGGAGGAGAGCAGCCCGATGGACAGGACAGGGTATTTGTTCTTCCCACTCCCAGTGAGCCAGAAGAAGTGGCAGGGCCTGTGGGGGACAAGGCTTCCTGACACTGAGCTTGAGCTGAGCAAACTTCGAACCTGTGCCCTCAGGACGGCCCTCAATTCCTATTACTGCCAGGTGGGGCTTAGTCCGGCCCAGTCCTGGCCTTTTGGACTCCCAGAGGTTTCCCCAGCCAATGTCACTCTGCTCAGGTGAGTCTTCTACCTCTTCTGAGAACCTTAGCATTGTGAATCCCCACCCCTATCCTTGTCCTGCACTGTGGGGCCCAGTGACCATCCAAGTCAGACCCTTTGTGTTAGGGAGGT